TGTTTTTGTAATTACTATTATTATTATTGTTATTTATTATTATTGCAGTTACATTTTACTAGTTTGTTCAGTGTTCCAGCAGTTAAGCATACCAAACTGGTTGGAGCTCAGAGCACACAAATAAGTTTATATAAAAAACAGCTGTGTGTGGCATATGAAACTCAAATATAGCCATAATAATCAAAGGACCATTTCTCTCCCTCATGCAGAATTTATATCTATTGCTCTTAGAACAAGAAGTCAATGTGCACTTGTAGTAACAACTGCTATTTCTTATCCTTTAAAGTGAGTTGCATGGCAATCTCCTACTTTTAGCTACTAAAAACTTGCTGAAAATCCTCCTTTGAAGGTAAAATGTTCACTGGGTCTTCTAAAAACTACAAGTTGGGCTGGGAATGTGGCTTCGTGGTAGAGTGCTTGCCTATCATGCAAAAGGCCCTGGGTTTGATATCTTAGTACCACATAAACAAAAAATAAATAAATAAAAATTAAATCATAAAACTGCAAGTTGAATGAAAAGAGTATATAAGTTCTAAAAATGTGGCAATAAATGCATTGGTGTCTTAAAAATTACTCTTTGAAATGTTTGATTGTATAAACATTGCTTAAGTACCTCTTGCATACCAAGGCGTTCCAGCTTATAGTGTATAAAAGGTAAAATAGCATTTAATTTGTTCTCTTCCCACTGGAACACTAGAATTTAAAGTTTGTCACTTGGAGTTACTGAGAATAGAAATGATGAAATGGCTGAATTTTTAAAATTAATTTTAAATAACCACATTTATTTTTAACATACTATTGGATCTTATGTATCAAATGATTTATATTCAATTGAAGATTACTTGCTTTGACTTAAAAGATACGTAGTTGCAATTGGCATAAAATAATTGGATTAATTTCAAGTTAAAGAAATAAACCTTTGCTGCTGGTTCTCTTTAACTTTGTTCACATGACTTATTTGAGAAACTTATTTTAGCTCTGCTGTTGTCCGAAAAACTGGATGGTCTAAATAGGGCCCACAAGTCCTCTTTCGAGACAGCCTCTAAGGCATGCTTTCTTCTAGGCTGACCATCAAACTTTATGCTGTTCACAAGTTTAACATCTAAGCATCTGTGAAACTAATCAGCTATAACAGGTTTTTCTTCAGTCATTCATCAAGCCTAGTTTCATACTTCCAGAAGGACTTCAATTTATCAACTTGATTTCCCTTAGTTCAGTACAGTCAGTTCAAGTCCCTGAGTTAAGGTTGAGACATTAATCTCTTGTTACATTATTTTGTTTGGCACTAAGTTAGTGTTTTCACAAACCTTGGCATTATTGTGCAGTTTTTCTTTTCTTAGGAGTGGTATCTTTACTCTTCAACTCACTACCATCATTGCCTATTTTTTGGCCCACATAATCATTAGTAGTGTCATCTGAATTTCTACAACAAAAATGTGGTGATAGTGTGTTATATTTGGTATAATTCCCTATATTAATAATATATTAAAATGTTCGACTCATTAAAACTATCTGTTGGGCTGAGAATGTGGCTTAGTGGTAGAGTGCTTGTGTTGCATGCATGAAGCCCTGGGTTCAATTCCTCAGTACCACATAAACAGAAAAATCTGAAAGTAGCTCTGTGGCTCAAGTGGTAGAGTGCTAGCCTTGAGCACAGAGAGGCTCAGGGCCAGTGCTCAGCCCTGAATTTAAGCCCCAAAAAATCTGAAAGTAGCTCTGTGGCTCAAGTGGTAGAGTGCTAGCCTTGAGCACAGAGAGGCTCAGGGCCAGTGCTCAGCCCTGAATTTAAGCCCCAGGACTAGCCAAAAGAAAAACTATATTGTTGGGTTTTTCCATTTCACTTGTCATAAATCTACAAGTTGTTAGGGATGGTGCTAATGCATGCTCATAATATGTTCATTTTCTGCTCTGTAAAAAGGAAGCCACGTCCCTAGTCTTTGAATTCCCTGTCTAGGCCTTTCAGTTGGCTGAATGTCTCTCTGTGAAATTCTTTCAGTCTTCCTAGACTGTTTAGGATTCATGCATTAAAAATGAGTACTTAGATTGCCTCTGGTGGCTCATGCCCTGTGAGACTCTCAAATTAACTACCAGAAAACCATTCCTGGCCTGTGGCTCAAAGTGGTAGAGCATTAGCTTTGAGCAAATAGTCTCAGGGACAACTCCCAGGCCTTAAGTTCAAGCCCCATGGCTGACAAAAAAAAAGCAAAATAAAAAAACAAAACAAAACAAAAAACCACATTTATGTCAGACTCTTTTCAGTGTTGGCAAAACTAGATGTTTTCATAAACATTTAATACTTTTGATTCTTCCAGCAGCACTGTGGACTTAATAAGACAATTCTGGGTGACAGAGTTTGTACAGAGTTTGCAGGGAGTATGTGGTTTGTATTATTACCACATTGATTGAAACCCATTGCTCTGGATGCTAAAGTACAATGTATCTTCTGATCAAAATCAAATAATCAAATTGAAAACAGATTGCCTACTTCCATCTGATATTAGAATGATTTTTGCTCTACTCATTATCTTGTAAAATATGCTGTAATTTTTTAAGACTAGTAATCTAGGAATGTGGCCTAAACCATGAGTGTGAGCAAAAATTGCTATAATTATTCTGTCCATGCTTTCTTAGACAAGTACTCTTTCAGTTGTGTTTAAATTTAGTTTCTTCTAGCAATTATTTTAGCTGATGGAAACATTAACATCATAAAATAGGCATTTCAAATATACATTTAGGATACTCATTTCTTCTCCAGTAAATGAATTATATTCTATTTTCACATCTGTGTATATATTGTTTTTTCTATAGAGACCGAAAATTTTGTGATTGATGTAAGCCTTCAGTATTTTTCTTGTAAATTATACTGCTTATTTTTCAAACTTTATAAAAATAAATCTTTAATATATAAATAGCTGAGACAATTTCTCCATAGCTTTATGCAAAGCAACAGAATCAAATATTTAGCTTGGAATGAGGTACATGATGCATTTACCATAATCATCAATAGATGACTTAGAATCAGTGCTCCATATGGCTCAAGACAACCCCAGATCCTCATTTCAATCCCATCTTGTTGCTCCAGCTGCTAGCACTGAACCCATCATGAGACTAAACCACTCATTCTCTTCTCTCCATCCCCTCTCACATGCTTTTCTTCTTCCAGCACTAGTATAGAAATATGTTTACTAGTATAGAATTATGTTCCATATTTTGTCCGCTAATAAGCAATTTTTTAAAGTTGGTGAATTGTTTGCAATCAAAAGAAATCAATGTTGGTGTTCAATCAACTTTATGGAGAACATTTTAGTAAAAACATAATGCTTCTGTGTTTATTACTATAATCACCAGTGGCCCTCAGCAACCTATGACATGATATCTGTGGAGATAGGAATATTTCTTTCTACACTCTTCTTACCCTGACCTTCAGTATGGATGTCCTTCACAGAATGTATATGCAATAACCACTGACTGCTGATAGAGCAATGGTGGGGTTGCTTATTGGCCTGAGGAATCTCCTGCTCCCAGAATCTATCAAATTCAAAAACCATTGCTTAGTTGTTTTTTTTATTTAATTTCTTATTTCATTTTCTCTCACTGTCCTTTGTTCAGGGGAGAATGACAGTAAAAGATTTAGGCAAAGGCTCCTTCTTCAGGAATGCTAGTTGTCCAGAGACAGAAAAAAAGATGATTATCTCCATGCTTTAAAACATTCTGGAGCCATACCTGTAATCCTAGCTACTCAAGAAGCTGAGATCTGAGGATCGAGGTTTGAAGCCAACTCTAGGCAGAAAAGTCCCTGTGAGACTCTTATCTTCAATAAACCACTCAAAAAATGGAACTGGAGCTGTGGCTCCAAGTGGCTAGCCTTGAGCAAAAGCACAAAAGGACAGTGCCCAGGCCCTGAGTTCAAGCCCCATGACCACCACCACCAACAACCAAAAAAAGGCCCTTCAATTTGACATCTTTTTGTAGTATAATTTGAGATTATCCGTGGCAGAGAGAAATTGAAAGTTATTTTTATTTAGTATTCACGTCATTAACAGCTTATTAGAAAACAACCAAATAAACAAAAACTACATTTTCATATGTGTTTTGTCAAAGGACCATAACTGTCATTTAAATGAAATAAAATCAAAGTATTCACATTAATTTTCAAACTTCACTTTTTTAATTGCAGTCATGGCTAAGGATGAACTTCTAGGATATTATATCTAAGTGCCCTTCTGCTAGTATAGAACTAGAAATTTATTGACATAACAGAATTTCTCTCTATATGTATGTAGAGGATATACAATATACTTAATTATTCTTTTTACTTGTACACATATGATCTTTGGATAATGGTAGGTATAAAAAGTCAATGTGAATCTTCCTAATAATTTGAATAGCCTTAATAATTGTACTCCAGCTAATTTTATGAGCACTTCTGGATACCTTCAAATTGCAGTGAATCATTATACGATTCATTATTTTTTCTCTCTGAATATTTTATGTCCTCATGAATAGAGGATTTTTTTCACATATTTGTAGTTGAATCACTATTACACTATTTCAAGAATGAGTTTCAAAGAGCCAAGGATATTCGAGAATATCATTCCTTTTGTTACAGAGGCCATGCATGATGTATTTATAAACTTTGGATTAATTATATTCATACGACAATGCATTGCTTATAATCTTTGGATTGTGTCCACAAGTCAATGCCAAGGAGAAGGATTCCAGAAATTTCCTATGGCACTGTTACCATTTCAGATCTTTGTGGTCACAGTTGAAGTCATTTGAATAGTTGTGAAAATAACTCTAAAAAGACTGTAAAATAATAAAAAGTTTATATGTTTTCATAAGCTGGAAACACTTGAATACAGCAGTCCTTTAAAATGCAGCAGTGTATTGGGTATAGCAAGTATATCAAGCTTGCCTATCAATTAGTTAGTTTGTGTCAATTGTGTGATTATAACTGTATTATGAAATGTTGATTCTATTATCTCTTTTCTTTATAGGTAACCCATTAAGCAAGGATAAGTCTAATGATTGCCCCAGGCTGATGACAATGAACACAGGCATAGACACATGACTCCTGAGGTGATCTTGAAGAAGATTTTTATACTGCTCAGCAAAGACACTTTGGAGTCTATTTCCAAGAGATTCCATGGCTTGCTATCAGTCTCTTCCTGAACATAAGACTAATTCAGACATGAACTTCCATGTCATACAGACTTCATTGGGTTTGAATCCTATTCAACTTGTGACATTGCTGAGGGAACTTGGAGCTGCTATCTGCAGAGCTGGTGGACTGTTGGTGTTTTCAGGGTGACTTCAGAGACAATCACCTTCTGGGTTCCTAGCTCCAGCTGTGACTGCTTTTCTTGTTTCTGAGAGCTGTCTCCTAAGTGCACTGTCCTTCTGTCATAAATGTGTTCCTGGGTCCTTCATGCATTGGCTAGTGGACTGTACACAGCTTTGATGAAATTTCCTCTGGTGGCATGATGTACACCAAGACTCTTTTATTGGTATATCATAATCTTGGAGCTCTGAAAGCCTACATTTTAACATCTTACAGTCGCTTTTGTTAAAGGAATGGAAATATATATATATATATATCCATTTATACTAATTATTGTTGGCAAGTAGTAGTAATCCAAATACATCAATCATGTAAGAATGTATAGACAAGTTGACATGTTTCCCCAAGGCTAACATAATACTGCAGCTCTCTGCAAGTTAAATAAATAGTAGTAAGAACTGGATTACCATTTTCATTATAGAATACTTGGTACCTCTAGACCACGGTCAGATTTTTTCAGTGTTTTTTTTTAAAGTAGGCCTTAATTGTTTTTATGTTTACTTTTGCTCTTCTCATAAATCAGTGGTGAGCCATCAAGTTAGTGGGTAGTGTGTTCAGATCAGAAAATTCCCAGGGATGCATGTGAGCTTCTGATTTCTTAGCTTGGATGTTATTCACTTAGATTTCTTCTTCTATTTTTTAAAAAAACTGACCTTTTTTTTTGGCGGGGGTGTCATTTTAAGAGTCTGTCTCTTGCTTGTTCCCAATGACTGTTTTGAATGCTTATAGATTTGTTTGTTTGGTCTGTTGATAGAATAAATTGTTCATTTACCTTGGTCTCAAAGTTATAAATATTTGCTTATTGTTGTTTCTAGCCAAACAATTTCACAGGCCAGTATTTTGTCCATCTTTTTTCATAGCCATTTTACCATTGGTGATTTTTAGTTCTAAAGGATCATCTTATAAATATTTAAAGGCCTTAAACATTTATGTATTTCTTTATGGGTTGTTACAGAATGTATAATTTTATACTACATTTATTTTGCTTCATTTGTGAAGTGGAGGGAGAGAACAATGGAGACTACATAGCCATTCTGTATTAATATTGTGTAAAACCATGCTTTGAAGGAATGTAAAGAGGGCTTTCTGCGTCTTATCTGCTTCAGATTAATCAAAAGCTGCTTCATAAATGGCCCTATCAGGAGTCTCACAATGTTAGAGAAAGTGTGAAATACTTTGTATTGTTAAAACTTCCTGGCATTTCCAGTTAAGTGTACATGGGCTTATATGATTGAGGCTCATACGTCCTGGAATATTTCAATCTGTCACTTTGTACCAATGTTGAAAGACCAATATATTAACAAGATTCTTACTGGGAAGAACAACTAACACTGTAAATTTTACTAAAAATTAAGTTTGGAAAGTATGTTTTTGACATCGAACTGAAGTCCACTGACCCACAAATACATAAAATGAAATGGCTTCCTGTTTCCATTTTATGCATCAAATCAATTATATTACTTCGATTGGGTTTTGCAACCTACTATATGAAAGAAAGACCATAAGAAAGCATAAAGAAAGGAATAAGTTATGCTGGAGTTTCTTCATCATTTAGAATATCATTAATTCCTTTAGAACAAAGTAGAAAGCTATATTGTTTTGGAAATTATGGATTTGTCCTGAGTTTGTTGAAAGTATAGATCATGCTTCTCATTTCAAGAAAAAACATGTCTTTAAAACAATGCTGGAAATTCTGTATTATATACAAGTGTAATACATGCATATCAATAGAAAAAAATAAATGGAATTTCAAATATACTAGCTAGGTTATCCCCAATAGATCCATGTTGTAACTCTTCAGAAAAGGTGAATAAAATTTGGATACAAAATGAACTCTCTTTCATAAGTACACTTTGGATTTATGTTTGCCTTGTTTTATTTTAAAAATACTTCAGTTACCAGACATTCAAACCTCTAAATTCAAAGAAAAACTGGAAAGAAAAGTCCATCAGCCTTCTTTTAATGATGATTCATGGCAAATATTGTCATTTTCTAAGGTTTTAATATTTGATTTGCTTCTTGTCTAGAAAATAATGAAACAGACACCGGCCTGTGTCATACTTCTACATCTTCAATCTAAGAGCAACTGGCAGAATTTTGCAGAAGGAAAAATAGCACTGTGTTTTTGAAAATTGTTCACAAATGAAGTTTATCTTTGGAAATAATGCAAATGTGCATCCAAATCAAAAGTATACTTGATTGTTTATAAAATATTTGCAACACTTTTAATTTGAAAAAAAAATGCTTTTGGTTGGTGGGGCTTGGACTCTGGAACTGGGTGCTGTCCCTCAACTCTTCAGCTCAAGGCTAGCACTCTACCACTTGAGCCACAGTGCCACTCTGGTTTTCTGAGTGGTTTATTGGAGATAAGAGGCTCACAGACATTCCTCCCTGAACTGGCTTTGAACCATGATCCTCAGATCTCAGTCTCTTGAGTAGCTAGGATTACAGGCCTGAGTCACTGGTGCCCAGCTTCTTTTGAAATATTTTTAGATTCAGAAGCAGCTAACACAACAGAAAAAATTTCAGTTGACTTTTTCCTCATCTTCCTATGACCATGTCATACAGAATCATAATACATTGTGAAAGCAATTGACATTGTAAAATACTGTAAACTTCATATCAAGGCCAGAAAGGACCTTCCTTTTTTCCTCCCTTTCTTTCTTCCTCCTTCTTTCTCTTCCTCTCTCTTTCTTTCCTTCTTTCTCTCCCTCCTTTTCTCCCTCTCCCTTCCTCCCTCTCCCTTCCTCCCTCCTTTCCTTCCTTCCTTCTTTCCCTCCCTCCCTCCTTTCTTTCCTTCCTTCCTTCCTTCTTCTCTTTTGTTTTAAAATTCTTTAGGGAAAAGATATTGAAATAAATATATTTACAGATTTCTCATAAAATATCTTCTTTATTTCATTGATTTATACCATGTGAGACTATGAAATTTAATGTGCATAATTGTTTGGCATTTAAATGACAATGAATTTCTATTAAGCATGAACATATTTGACTAAATTAAATGTGCCAATTAGTTGATGTTTATCCTTTCAAATTAGTTCTATTCTCTATGTGGCCTACAAGTACATGTCACTATGTTAGCCAATGGGAAAGTGAGTCCTCAGGAAATTTGTTTTTCACACTTGGTTTCATTTATATTCATCTTTTTCAATACATTACATGTTAGAAAATGGTATATGTCATGCCTTAATAAGCAAAGCCTTATTTGATATACAGAGCAACCAGATTTTATTGTAGATGTTATATTATCTGGGCTATGTATGCCCAAAGCCGATTTTTTTAAGTAGATTAAAAAATTTGACTGAAAATCTAAAGGAAGAAAGATTGTGGGTATAAAGAACTAGAAAGTTAAAAACCTAAGGAAAACTATGAAGTCTTGAGTGTGGACCATAGCATTGGAGAAAATAAGAAACAAGGAGTCTCAATCCTGCTTACAATCTAAGTTAATTGAGTATAAAAAAAAATCCATGCTGATGCTTATACCAAGATTGCCTTTCTCTTTATTTGTCAGTCCATGCGGCCTCATGATTGCTAAGCTTATGCTTTACCACTTTAGCCATACCCCCAGCTCTTGTTCCACTTTTTTGAATGTGTGTGTGTGTGTGTGTGTGTGTGTGTGTGTGTGTGGTGCACGCGCACCCTTGTGTGCGCTGGTCCTGTGACTTGAACTCAGAGACTGGGTACTGTCCCTGAGCTTTTTCTTGAGCCATAGTACCTCCACTTTCATGAGGCCCTGGATTTGATTCCTCAGCACCACATAAGCAGAAAAAGCCAGAAGTGGTGCTGCGACTCAAGTGGTAGAGCGCCAGCCTTGAGCTGAAGAGCTGAGGGACAGCGCCCAAGCCCAGAGTTCAGGCCCCACGACTGGACTCCCCCCCCCAAAAAAAAGAAGCGTGACTTCCATTCCTGGCTTGTTTGTTGAGATGGCTCCAAATCATGACCCTCTGATCTTTCTCCACAGTGGAGAATACAGACATAAGACACAATGCCTGGTCCTGAGATTCTCTTAATTGGGTTGAAATAGAAATTTGACATGGGTATTGTTTTTGTTTTTTACAGAATCCCCTATTGTTTTTAATGTGTTTCCCAGTTAAGAACTACTATTGAGGCGTTGTGTTAAGTTAGAGATGATAAGATAGATAGGTGGGTAAAGTAAATGAATAAGTAAAAGAAAAATGAGGATGAAAATTCCAGTGGATTGTGAGGCTACTAAATCAGGAGAACAGAGATCCAGTTAAACATGAGAGAAAAAAACCTGTAGAAAAGGATGCTAAGAAGCAGGTAGGCAGAGTTAATTTTTAATGCCCACTGCAGTAATTTAAAGCACAGTGAAACATTCTGAAAGGTCACATTGTGTGAGAGCTAAACAGGTTTATTAGATTTGTGATTTGAGATTATTGTTGGTCTTAGAGTCATTTCAACCAAATGTTGTAGAATGAGATTTCAGTGGGCTGGAGAGTCAGTGGGAGATGGGAAGTGAAGATAGTACATGAAGACTTCTCTTTCAATGGGGAGTATAAAGGATAAACTGGTGGGTTGGTTATGCAGGAGATCCCATATGAGAGATTAGAATATATTTATTTAATCTGTGTTATTCAAGTCAAGGTCTGAGGGAAGAGAGAACAAGAGCTAGAACTAGAAATAAAGGTAGCTGATGACAGAATAGTTGCCTACCAAGAGACAGAAGGAAATACAAAGTAGATAAAGTATAAGGGGAACATAATCTGTTAAGAAATAT